TTGACATGAGTTAACCATATCGCAACAACATGACCTAGAGTATTGTGTTAGAGAATGACCGAATTGCATTGTAATCACAAACTAACTAGGTTCTCTAAAATGAATTATATTTAGTTTGGGTAGCCATAACATATTGCTAGGTGTCACTCATGGTTTGTGGAAGCCCTGTAAGGATTAATTATAATTTGCCCTCACCAATAGGAAGAATTCTATAAAGGGATACAATTCACATTCGATTTAGAAGAGCTCACTCATGACCTCGCTAATTAGAACTTATAAGATCGCACACTAAAAAGGTATGGATCAAGAATTAAAAGAGAATAAATGATTTTGTGGCTTGGTCAAAAGTCAAAGTCAAGGTCAAAGTCAAAAGTCAAAAGTCAAAATTCAAAGTCAAAAGGTCAAACCATTGATTCGAGACTTGAAACAGTCAACATAAGGTTGACTAGGACCAATGCTTGTTAGACAAGTTAATGATTTAATTTGTTAAGTCATAAAAACCAATTAAACTAATAGATTGGTTTAATGATTTAATTAAAGTTATGAAACTTTAGTTTTGGTCCTACATTACTTAAATATTTTAGGCAAGGTGTGACACATTATGGGATTAATGTCGTAGACCAAAGTAGCCCAAAAAGGTTAAGGATAGGGAGGGTGTGGCACATGGGTTTCTTAGGGGCACATGTGTGATGTGTCTATATATTCATGGGCATAACACCACACCTCCTTAGGGTTTTTCAAGTTAGACATTGAGGTAGAGACGAAACATCAAACCTCCCTCCCTTCCTTTCTCTTGGCCGGCCACCTAGAGGAAGAAGAGGCTAGCACCCATCTTCTCCTTTTGTTTCTTTATTCTCCTATTCTCATCCATCCTTGATGAAGACTTTTTGGGGAGGCATAACCTCATTGTGCCTATTTGGAGAACAAAGTGGAGAATCAACAACTAAAGGACCATTACCTCTACTTGAACACCATCCTTGGTTTCAAGATTCGCTCCAAGGGTATGTTCACTTTTTACCTTCTCTTTAATATGTGATATTAGTATCAATGGTACAAACTTTCATAGACCTATAAAGATTGGGACCTAAGTTGAGACTTGCATAAATCTCTAGCTATTTTCTTGCTTCCGCTTTATTTGATTTCATATTTGATATGCATAGGCTAAATGATTTGTTCTCTCATAGCTTCATGGAATTTTAGAAATCCCAACCCCAAATTTTTCCTTCAGTTGGAGTATAAGCCACGACCTTCCTTTCATCCCCATCTCCCTCTGTGTTGCATAAATCTTGTGAATTCTCCATCTCCTTCAAACCCCCAATTTAAAAGATTTTCAACCTTCCCCAACTCCCAAATAACCCAAAAGCGAAAACCTAACACACTGATAGCGAGAGCTTGTTTGTAGACCCTTGTAACTTTGTGTGTTGAAAGTTCAAAACTTTACAAACTATAACACACACACTCTCTCTCTCTCTCTCTCTCTCTCTCTCTCTCATTTTATTTGTTCAACGTTTACCAATTTTTTATTTCTTCTTTCCCAAAAGTCCTAGCTTCTTGATAATATTTTCAATAAGCTTAAAAAAAATGGGCGCCAAATGAATGGACAAGATTGAATCTTTTTGTGACTCTCGTACGCAGACCACAATACACTGGTGAGAGAGTGTGTGTGGTAGCTGTGGGAGGGTAGGCTGCCGGGTGAAGATTGGCTTTGTGGGTGTCGGATTGAGAGAAGATAGAGAGAAATGAGTGAGAATGTGGTGGGGCCGTGGGCTGCCGAGATAGAAGACATGGAGGGTCATAGAGAGTTTTTTTGGTGTTTTGTTATTGATCTTTAAGATTTTTTAATTAATGTTTAATATTATTTCTTAGTTTTAATTTTTTTTTATTGAGAAAGACATACAACCAATGAAATAATATTAGTGTTTCATTTTTACATGTCTAATTTTTCTAAAAAAATCTTATGTCGACCTCGGAAGAAATTCATGTGGTCCTTCCAATCTTATAAATCCTATGATAGAAATCTTTAAAATCCATAAATAAAATTCTACAAGTCATTATATTCCGCTTAAATTCACTAGACTTTTTTCTATCCCTAAATAGTCTTTTAAAATCTCAATTAAATACACCCCCTAAGATTATAGTAGGATAAAGCATGCATTGTTCCAAATCTTGATACATGTATAGTTATTTATGAGAATTAACCTATTAATGGAGGGTTGTTGCATGAACACTCCCCCCTCGTTCCTAATGGAATGAGACATCTAGATTTAATTGAATTTTATAGCCTTTATCTTTTAAAATAGAAGGATTTTTTCTTATTTCCTAGCTCATATATCTTTGGTGAATTCCTTAGACTAACGAGTTATTTATTCTTGAGTGTTCACTTGTGTTTTCACCCTTAATCTCCATTTATCCAATGTCAAAATTTCAACAAAATGTACAAGTTATAGCTTGGTTGTATGTCAAGCCATAACTAGTAATCTATGTGTAAGAGTTGTGAATCCAAGACAATTATGATTAGATGAAGAATGAAAACTTACAACGAAGTTGTATTCGTCCGACATTGAAAAATTGAAACACCTAAAGCATGGGCTCATAACGAGTTGGACTACTCTCCCATATTGCCAATTGAATTTGGGTGAAACCTCTATTTCCTTCACTACATACAACAGTCTAAAACAAATCTTATTCCACTGACACATTGATGTGTTCATCTCAATTGAATTTGGAAGAAATAATTTTGATTCATTAAACCATGACTTTCTTGCAATAAGCTCCAATGCGTACATTGTTGGAATTTTTGCGAGTATTTCAAAATACAAAATTAATTTATCTAATTTATGTTGAAAGTGAAATTTTAAATGTTTGGTTTAATTCTATTTTATGAAAATTATCAACTTTTTTCGTATTGGTTTTGAATAAATTGGACATTAATTTGTTGTTGATTTTGATATCTCTTTTGTAGTTTTAATTGGTTTATTTCCATTAACATTTTTGTAGGAATTAGACATGATTAACTTTAGTAATTTGGATTTGAGACATTAGGTATTTTGGTTTGGGTTTTAATACCCATAAAAGAATATGTATTTGGATTAGGCCAAAAAGAATGCTCAGATTCATTGGCCCACCTTATATTAATCACTGAAAAGACAATTATACCCTTTTTATTAAAATATCTATTAGTCTCTATTTTTTATCAGATTAGATCTCTCTCTCTCTCTCTCTCTCTCTCTCTCATCTCTCTCTCTCTCTCTCTCCTCTCTCTCTCTCTCTCTTTTAGAAACTGGAAACTGCATTGCAGTTTTTATTTAATTACAATTTGATTTTTGTTCTTTCCTTCGCCTTCAACCTCACCAATTTGAAGAGTAAAGGCTACCCAGATGAGGAATTGGGTGGGCAAAAGAAGAGTAGAACTACCCAAGAGAAAAGGAACTCAAAATTGGACTTTTAGAAACTGGAAACTGCATTGCAGTTTTTATTTAATTACAATTTGATTTTTGTTCTTTCCTTCGCCTTCAACCTCACCAATTTGAAGAGTAAAGGCTACCCATATGAGGAATTGGGTGGGCAAGAGAAGAGTAGAACTACCAGAAACTGAGATGCAAAAAACCAAATCTACCAAACCAGAAACTGAGATGCAGAAAACCAAAACCAAAACCAAAACCAAAACCAGAAACTGAGATGCAGAAAACTGCAGAAAACCAAAACCAGAAACAGAGATGTAGAAAACTGCAGAAAACCAAAACCAGAAACTGAGATGTAGAAAACCAAAACCAAAACCAAAACCAGAAACTGAGATGTAGAAAACCAAAACCAGAAACTGAGATGCAGAAAACTGCAGAAAACCAAACCCAGAAACTGAGATGCAGAAAACCAAAACCAAACCAAAACCAGAAACTGAGATGAAGAATCGGCTTCGATCGTTGATGGTCTTCGATGATGGTCGCGCGAATGGGTTGGTGGTCTTCGATGATCGTTGGTGACTTCGATCGTTGGTGATCTTCAATGATCGTTGGTGGTCTGGAGGTTTCTGGAGGTGAAGTTGAAGAGGTTTCTGGAGGTGAAGTTGAAAGGTCGCGCGAATGGGTTATGATTCAATTTTGGTTTCGGTTGATGTCGTTTTGGTTCAGTTTTGGTTTGATGTCGTTTTTCAGCTTTGGTTTAAAACTAAATATTGAAAATGGCATATGTTGTAATTTTCATATTTTGTAATGGTATTTTTGTTACATTTTGGTTTTTGGCCTTTTGCTAATTAGACTAAATTGTATTTCTTTCTACTAAATTAGTAAACTATATTATGGTTTAAAACTAAAGCTCCCTTTATTTTATCATTTAAATAAGTTAAATGCCTTTGGTTTTATAATAGTCGTTGAAGGTTTTGATTCCAAAGCTTTATTGCGTCAGTTAATTGCTTAATTGGGATCAGATTTTACTATTTGAGCAATAGCCTTCAGTTTTGTTCTTAACGTGCAAATGTGGTGTAATTGCTTGGTTAATAACCCAACATTCACTAGAGTCAGTAAGCTTATATATACATCAAAAAGAAAAACGTTGGTGAGAGATTTTTGGCACTTTCTTCATTATTTTCTCCTACACGTTCTTGAGTCTGTGTTCCAATTTATTTTCTTTTATCAAGGGAAAGATTCGAGTAGTTCGTCTGACCCAAGTAGTGTGAGTGTACGCTTATCAGGGTCATAGGTTGTTGTATCCTAGAGGGTAGGGACAGGGACAGACCCATGAATCTTATCTCATAGGATCATAGTGTAAAAGTTCAATTTTTTTTTGGCTTATTTACTATAGCACCCCCTGAAACTTCGATCAAATCTCACTTTACCCCCCAAAAGTTAAAATGACCCACTTTATCCCCTTGACCGTGGTTTTGTGTTTTCACTTCCCCCCCACCCACCGTTAACACCATCCAAAAGACCGTAAAAAAGGTGATGTGGCAGGGGCATTATGGTAATAGCACCCACGTGGGCCAATTGCTGACCTTAGTCAGCTGCCTATGTGGCATATTGCACCCCACAGGCGTTGAAAATCCTAATCGAAGCGGCTGAGTATTCTTTCTTTGTCCTCAGCAGCCAAGCCATCAAAGCTCTCTCATGAGGAGGCATTTCAATATCAACCTATACAAAAAACTCACAACCTTTTTTCCCCCTCTACATTCAAACAACAATTCCATCACATTCTCACCAATTTTTTCTTCTTCTAATTTTCGATAAAATGGCAAATAAAAAACTTACCTTTGACTTTGGACACACAAAGAACCTCTGAAGTGGGTTGGACTCTGTCCAAGAAGTCTGCAGCAGAGCAAGCCTCCCACAATAGCAATCAGGTGCAGCACCGGCCACCTCTTCTCCTCGTGGAGGTTCTTTCCTCATCTTCACACCCTTTAATCGAACAAAGATGGAGAGATTTTTCTCTAGAGAACCTTAAATCCTTCAAATGGTGCTAAGTACTTGCTTTGAGTTTAGAAACTCTATTATCGAAGAAAAAGACTGAGGATTCTCATCATCAGCTGCTTAAATTAGGATTTTCAACACCTGTGGGGTCCAATATGCCACGTAGGCAGCTGACTAAGGTCAGCAATTGGCCCACATGGGTGCTATTATCATAATGCCCCTGCCACATCAACCTTTTTGATGGTCTTTTGGATGGCGTTAACGGTGGGAGAGAGGGGGGGAAGTGGAACATAAAACCACGGTCAAAGGAGGTAAAGTGCGTCATTTAACTTTGGGGGGGTAAACTGAGATTTGACCAAAGTTTCAGGGGGTGCTACAGTAAATAAGCCTTTTTTTTTTTGGGGTTCTGAAGTCGACAATGGAGGAGCTAGGGCTTAAAGGTTTGGGGGAGGGGGGATGGAGATTGGGGATTTAGGTTTGAGGGTTTAGGAATGGGGGTTTCGGAGTTCTAAAGTCGAGAGGGATTTGTGAAAATCTACTATATATATATATATTTTTTTTTTTAAAGACCCGGACCAAAATGAAGTCGTTTTGGCTAGGTTTTTTAAATAAAAACAAAAAAACAAAAGTGCTATGCAGCTTCTTCTTCCTCAGATCTGCATCCTTCTCATTCAGCTATTCATGTAGTCACACAGCCATTAAAAGGGACCTTCTAGCTTGCTTTCATGGATTCCATAGGGTCATTTGACCCCATTGACCCCACTGTGGGTTTGTCCCTGGGTAGGGAGCCATACAACCTTGCTAAAAGAGACATTGTCTTCGAGAGGCGAAATATACTCTTAAGGACAGTGAATGATACGTCTCAACCTAAAATTTGCTAAAATATGAATATGATTTGAATGTATTAGGTTGTATTTTATTCTTCTCCATAAGGAGGTATAAATAAGAGTTTACATATGAGGGTTTTACAAGGAATTAGATACAGTCAAGAATTAGGAAAGTATCTCCTAATTGTACAATGATTTATCACTTATATAAAAATAGGAAAGTAAATCCCTTAATTAATCAAGGAAGTAAATCTCCTTGATTAATTAGGAGACTCGCGTCAACACTCCTCCTCAAGTTGGTGTTGGTGCATATATGTCACTAATGCCCAACTTGGTAAGTGAGTCATGAAATACTCTTCCACAAATAACTTTGGTTAAGATATCTACCAGTTGATCTTCTAATTTTACGAATGGTAGGCGGATGATCTTTTTCTCAATTTTTTCTTTGATAAAATGTCTATCCACCTCAACATGTTTAGTTCGATCATGTTGAACTGGATTATGGGCAATATCAATAGCTGACTTGTTGTCACAATGCAACTCCATTGGCTTTTCTGGCTTGAAGCCCAATTCTGTCAACAGTCTTCTGATCCACAATAATTCACAAACTCCGTGAGTCATTCCTTGATACTCTGCTTCTGCACTAGATCGAGAAACCACATTTTGCTTTTACTCCGCCAAGTGACTAGGTTACCTCCCACGAATGTAAAGTAACATGAAGTAGAACGTCTATTTGTAATAGAACCAGCCCAATTAGCATCTGTGTATCCAACAACTTCAAGATCTCCATTTTTTGAGAACATTAATCATTTCCCAAAGGCTAGCTTTAAGTATCTTAAGATCCGATCAACTGCATTCCTATGAGAAACACTAGATGAATGCATAAACTGACTAACCATACTCATAGCATATGCAATATCTGGTCTTGTGTGTGCCATGTATGTCAACCTTCCAACAAGATGTTGGTACTGTTCCTTATTGGTTGGTTCTTGGTCCATGTCTTCACACAACATGTGATTCATCTCAATAGATGTGTCAGCAGGCTTGACCGCATGCTTCTGTGAGTCTGCAATAAGATGGAGAATCGTATGGGTTCCTGACATCGCAGCGGAAGTAAGATGTGATATAGAAGGTGAGGAAGGTGATGTGAGAAATTTGATGTATGAATATGATGTAGGAATTGGATTTAAGAGGTATGTATATAAGATTTGAGGGTATGTGTTTAGGGATTTGGATAAGAGGATTTGAGGACTTTAGATTTGAGGGATTTGGATTTGGGGAAAAATATGAGGAATTTGATTTAGGGTTTTGGATTTGAATATGAGGAATTTGAGATAAGGGTTTAGAGACAAAACAACTTCTCTTCACTCCCTATTTCCCCTTGAAGAGAAGGGGTCGTCAGAGTAAATAGATAGTCAGTATCTTCATGGGAATGAGAAATAGATCTTTTTCACTCCCTCTCCCCCCCTTGAAGAGGAGGGGAGAAGAGCACTTAAATTGCAAGAAGAACGCAAGCACAGGTCACAAGAGAACAAGGCTCTGATACCATGCTAAGAGTTCAAAGGGACGGACCCTTGACCCACCATTAACAACATCGATATTGTCCCCAACTTAATCACCTGTTTAGCAGGTGTGAGGTTTTTATACAAAAGGCCTCGATGTTGTTAGTAGTAGGGGCCTTCATTTTAGGCGTGTTGGTACACCGAACCAATGCCTAGGCCCACCACCTACACTAATGCGTGTTAGTATCGAACACTCGTAGGATTACCCCACCGGCACTATGCAATGCTAGTTATCAAACACCGCATAGGCCCACAACTAGCACCGATGTTGTCTCCAACTTAGTCACCTGATACCATGCTAAAATATGAATATGGTTTGAATGTATTAGGTTGTATTTTATTCTTCTCCATAAGGAGGTATATATAAGAGTTTACATATGAGGGTTTTACAAGGAATTAGATACAGTAAAGAATTAGGAAAGTATCTCCTAATTGTACAATGATTTATCACTTATATAAAAATAGGAAAGTAAATCCCTTAATTAATCAAGGAAGTAAATCTCCTTGATTAATTAGGAGAGTCACATCAACAAAACTATTATTCTACTCAATATCAGGGAGAACAATCTTCTACATCCCAAAAGATAAGTATCTTGCTGTAATTTCATTAATTTTATTTAATCTACTATATCAATGTAATTATAATTTTATAATATATATTTTTTATGATGTGTTGCTGGAAAAGTAGCATCCTTCAAGCAATTTCTCCAACTTATATTACGATGTACAATCTAATCGAGATAGGAACCAAATTATAAATATTTGAAAAAATAACACCATAAGCCAAGATTTTTTGCTTAGGGCAACATCTTTGAGAAGAAATTCTAGAATTTCTTTCAAGTCAAGGCTAACTATTTTTTGACATTCTACGAGTGAGGCTTTGACATCTTGAGACCTTTGAGCTACTATCTATCATCCGTAAATATAATTAATGCCATGGGGGAAAGAATATCAAATTTGGTTCTAACAAACTCAGGCATCTCTTAAGCTTGAGACTATATTATGAAGGCCAATTTCCGGCAATAGTAGGGTTTTTTTTGGGTTTGTTTATAGAAATTAAATGGTATAGTGTTTATCTATAACACTAGTGGTAAGAATAGGTATATAACTAAATATCTCTTATAAATATATTACATATAGTAAGATGAAAATGCCGTTAATTTGTCATGGTCGTCACTGAAATTTATTCATCTTCACTACCAACTATGAAGTGAATAAGTCTACCCAAATCACTGATATTTAATTTTCATCCAGTCTCTTCCTGCAAATGTCACCTCTTAACTAATCATAAAAGATTTTTATTCACAGGGCTTGTCATGGGACATGATGGTGAATGGCTTGAATTCATAGTATCTCCACATATGCATGGACAATTCATCGAATTTCCTTTTCTTTTTCTTGGCTAGGAAATTATTGGAATTACTTGTTTGTTCCCTGGCTTTTGAAGAAACTTGAACTGCTGCCCAAGATAGCTTATGACTTCGAGCAACAATTTAAGGTTAAAAGAATCTCAACACAATAGCAAAGACAAGAAGTTAATATCTTGATTGAGAGTATTTTCCAAGCAGCCCATTTACATCCGTTCTCCAGGCATTTTTCCATAAAACCAGGGTTAATTGTAAAAATATCGCAAAAAATAAATAAATTGTGAATTACAAAGTCTATGGATAACTTTCCGTTTTATTGGGTTTTATGGTAATCCTGAAGTGAGGTTAAGTTAGCACTCTTGGGATTTGCTACGCCAAGTCGCGGGGACTGTTCATCAACCATGGATCAGAGGAGGGGATTTCAATAAAATCCTTGAGGCCCATGAGTACTTTGGTCAGAGATTCTAACCCATGTCGTAGATGAGGGCCTTTCGGGAAGCTTTGGAGGATTATGGATTGATTACTATTGGTTTTAAGGGGTATAAATTTACATGGTCTAACAGATAGTAAGGTGATGGGAATGTAAAGCTCAGGCTAGATAGAATGGTGGCTAATGGTGACTTTTTTATGACTTTCCCTGAGCAACAATCCATCATCTGAATTCTATTGTGTCTGACCACCTTCCTTTGTTAACGTACTTGAGACCAAGTACTTAGGAGAGGAAGCATAGGCAGTTCTTGTTCGAGGAAATGCAGACTACTGTTGAGGGTTGCTAGGACGTCATCACGCATGCTTAGGAGTCTGAGACTGAACCTGTAGTAGAGAAATTGAAGGCATGTCAAGGGTCCTTGCAACGTGGAACAATGAACAAGTAGGGCAAATACCCACAAAGCTTTGGAGCCTGCAGCAGAAGTTAGATGACATCCAAAGGAGAAGCTATTCTCCTGTAGTTGAGTTTCAATAGAAAAATATAACCAGGGAAATGGATGTGTTTCCGGAAAGTTGTGGAGGCAGAGATCGGGGGTCTCATGGATGAAGTACAGAGACAAAAACATTAGATTTTTCCATGAACATACAAAAATGCGGGGACGACAAAATCTAATTAAGGCTATTGTAAATGACCGGGGGATTTGACATTCATCTACTGAAAGTATTGGCATTATTTTCTGTGATTATTTTCAAGACTTGTTTACTTCTAATGGACTACATGAGTCTGGGACAATCACTGAGGTGGTTAAGCCGATACTCGCTCAATCTCAGAATTTGCTCCTCAATCAAGTTTTCTTAAGGGAAGAAATCGAAACTGCTTTGGGAAAAATGTTCCCTACTAAGTCTCTAGGAGTGGATGCAGAAGTATTTGGAGGGGCTGTGGTAGGTGATGACATGGTAGGTTTTGGCCTTAATGTATTGAATGGGGGTGCCAGTGTAAAAGAAATTAATCACACACTTTTGACTCTTATTCCTAAGGCAGACAAACCAACAAAAGTTACTGAGTTTCAGCCAATTAGTTTGTACACGGTGATTTATAAGATGATTTCCAAGACTATAGTTAACAAGTTGAAGTCTATTATGCCTCTTATCATCTCCGAGTTTCAGAGTGCGTTTGTCCCTACACGGTTGATTACGGATAACATTATTGCTGCTTTTGAAAGCAAACATGCTATTAAAAGGCGTGGTGGGAGTAAGCTGAAGAAAATGGTGCTAAAGCTTGATATGTCTAAAGCTTATGACAGAGTGGAATGGAGAGCCAGGTTCTCTTGTGACCTATGCTTGCATTCTTCTTGAAATTTAAGTGCTCTGCTCCCCTCCTCTTCAAGGGGGGAAGGGAGAGTGAAAATGATATGTTTTTTGACGTATCCCCATTACCTTGACGTATTCCCATGAAGATACTGCATATCTCTTTACTCTGACGACCCCTTCTCTTCAGGGGAGAAGGGGAGTGAAGAGAAGTTGTTTTGTCTCTAAACCCTTATATCAAATTTCTCATATTCAAATCCAAAACCCTAAATCAAATTCCTCATTTTTTTTTCCCCAAATCCATATCCCTCAAATCTAAAGTCCTAAAATCCTCTTATCCAAATCCCTAAACACATACCATCAAATCTTATACACATACCTTTTAAATCCAATTCCTACATCAAAATCATACATCAAATTTCTCACATCACCTTCCTCACCTTCTCATATCACATTTTACTTCCGTTGCGATGTCAGGAACCCATACGATTCTCCATCTTATTGCAGACTCACAGAAGTATGTGGTCAATCCTGCTGACCTGGCTACCCAGACTCTTACTTTTATCACCACCACCAAAGGTTCTATTTTCATACGTCCTCTAAGACTAGATATTGCATATGCTGTGAGTGTGGTTAGTTAGTTTATGCATTCGCCCAGTGTTTCTCATAGGAATGCAGTTGATCGAATCTTAAGATACTTAAAGTCAGCCCCTAGGAAAAGATTAATGTTCTCACGAAATGGAGATCTTGAAGTTATTGGATACACAAATACTGATTGGGCTGGTTCTATTACAGATAGACACTCTATTTCAGGTTACATTACATTCGTGGGAGGTAACCTAGTCACTTAACGGAGTAAAAAGCAAAATGCGGTTTCTCGATCTAGTGTAGAAGCAGAGTATCGAGGAATGGCTCATGGAGTTTGTGAATTATTGTGAATCAGAAGATCAACTGGCAGATATCTTAACCAAAGCTGTTTGTGGAAGAGTATTTCATGACTCACTTACCAAGTTGGCATTGGTGACATATATGCACCAACTTGAGGAGGAGTGTTGACGTGAGTCTCCTAATTAATCAAGGAGATTTACTTCCTTGATTAATTAAGGGATTTACTTTTCTATTTTTTATATACGTGATAAATCATTGTACAATTAGGAGATACTTTCCTAATTCTTTACTATATCTAATTCCTTGTAAAACCCTCATGTAAACTCCTATATATACCTCCTTATGGAGAAGAATAAAAAACAACCTAAGACATTCAAACCATATTCATATTTTAACATGGTATCAAAGCGGGTCGGTTGACTGGGCCCGATTAAACCCAAATCAAACAAAAACCCCAAATTGAATCAAAATCAAACAAACCCCAAATTAAAAAATTAAAAAATTAAAAAAAAAAGAAAAAAGAAAAAAAGCAACTGATGTGGAATTGATTGCACGTGTGGCCCACTAAAAAGTGGTCCCACGTAAGGAGGAGTGTTGAAGAATACACGAGTCCCACATCGGAAACTTAACAAAATAGAAAGTCCCATATAATAAATGGTTCCACTCCTAATAACATCAAGGCCTTTTGTATAAAACCCCACACTTGCTATACAGGTGGTTAAGTTGGGGACAATATTGATGTTGTTAGTGGTGGGCCAAGGGTTCGTCCCTTTGAAATCTTAACAGAATGGACCTTTATTGTGGCTATGCTTAAGCATTTGGGCTTTAATGAAAAATGGGTGGAGCTTATCATGGATCGTGTATCCACTGTTACATACTCTATCCAAGTTTTGGGGGTAGCTTCAGGAATGATTCTGACATTGAGGGGCCTGCACCAAGGAGATCCTCTCTCTCCATATCTGTTCTTAATATGTGCGGAGGGACTATCTACTTTGCTTTTGTTAAGGCCCAAAAATCCAGGGTTGGGCCCAAATAAATTCTTGGTCCAACATAATGCCTTATTAAGAAAAAGACTCTGTTCGGAGCATGCAAAATTCCTCATTCATACTTACACAAGCCATGACCACATGCCATGCCAAATAAATATGCAATCTCTCGCACTAAGAGTTGAAATAAGCACTGACTCTACGAGCCCATGCTAATTACCCCATCAAGCATCATGCCTCTATTCAAGGACGATAAAATTAAAACACGCCGATTGACATGTCATGCCAAGTATGAAATTATTATTTCACACCCAACCACGCTACAAGCTTAAGTGGGCCCAAGCCACGCAAATGCCCGGGGCTTGCTTGAGTGGGTTATGGTATGGATGGTAACAAGCTTTCATGAGGCCCATTGATGAGCCAAGAAATGGAAGTTTTGGGCTGCTTGGGAGCCCCAAAACTCAAGCCCATTTCTTGAGCCCAAACACATGGGCTAGCATAAGAGAGAGAGAGAACATAACCCAATGCCTTAGAAAGAATACAATAGCTTGTCTAGAAAACCTTATGTTAATTAGAGCACCCAAACACTTTGTCAAAAACACTTCTAGCAGCTTGACGAAAACCCATTAGATGCTAGAGATAACATGCTGATAACCCACAACTGTACATACAAGCCCAGCCTAATGCCTTATAAAAAATCTGGCATCGTGCTCCATCCTTGCAAGGATTCCAAGACGGTTAAACAAGGAACCATGGCAGGAACCAGTGGAAATCCATGTGTGAGAAACGAATACCCATCAGACAAAGAACTCCTCCCATCTCTTTTTCCTCTACAAGCTCCATCTTGAAAACTATGAGAGAAAGCAGGTGGCGCCTCCCCCCTTATGGGAAGGTCCAGCTGCATCAAACTATTGGAACCACAAAGGGTTCCTTACCCATGCTCCTTGGATAGGAGAATTTCACCAAATTAGATCAGGTAGGAAGAAACGATGAAAAGGGAAAGGAAAAGTTAGATGAAATTAGGGTTCTTCAAGCCTATAAAAGAGAGCCTCATCTACCCAGAAAACCATCCACAGCCTAACCCATCTAGAGCTTGACCAAGCTTTGTCAAGCAACTGGAAATTCACTCAATCCACATCCAGAGAGCAAGTTTCCTCTCTTGCTTCCAAAACCCAGCAATTTCGAGCCATATTCCTCCATGCTTTTTCTATCTAGCAAAATAATCCATCCAAGGCTTGACCACGCTTTGTCAAACAAATTGGGAATTTTACTCAAGCCACCCAATTCTCTCCTTCGTTTGTTTTCCTCTTCCCTTAGGAAAGAAATCTGTCTAATCTTCCTCTGTTCCACTTTAACCCTTTGTTCACTATAAGAAACTCACGCTTATCTCTCTCTGTTCATGCTAAACTCATGATGGTTTTGCTCCCATGCCACAAGCTCCTCATGCTAAGCCATTAATCAATTTATCATGCTTATTTGGTGTTAGTGAGATGAACCTAAGAGTGTTTTTCTAAAGTCTCATTAGATTTTATAAAAACCCTTTTGGGAGCTTGGTTTCGAACTCAGGCTTTTGGGGAATTTTGTTCGTTGTCTTCTTACAGCAGCCCAAGCCCATTCGTCAGGCTGCTGGAACAAAAAGACCCCCACAACTTTCTAATGCCCTCAGAATCAAGCGTATCAGCCGCATTTTTGTGGCTCAAGGAGCACCCACTATTTCCCATTTATTTTTTGCATATGATAGTCTCCTTTTTGTAATGCCCATTTAGCTGATTGTGCTCATTTCCTTTAGATTCTCAATGTGTATGAAAGAGCATCTGGTCATAAAATTAATTTTGACAAGTCTGCAGCATGCTTTAGCCCCAACATTGATCCGGTTATAAAGCAACTGATATCTGAAATGCTTAGAGTGCGGATTGTTGCATGTCATGAACGCTACCTTGGTCTGCCTACCTTAGCTCAACACAGAAAATCCCGGATGTTTAATCGTGTGTGAGAACAAGTGTGGCGAAAGCTCAATACCTAGGATACGAAGTTGTTGTCCACGGCTGGCAAGGAAGTCTTAATTAAGGCGGTTGGCCAAGCACTACCTACTTATACAATGGGAGTATTTAAATTGCCACATCCTTGTGCCAGGAATTGTCTGCTATGATTGCAAGGTATTGGTGGGGGAAGAGTGGCAGGCGAGGAATTCATTGGTTGGGTTGGAGGAAATTGTATAAACCAAAATGTTTGGGAGGCCTTGGCTTTAGAAACTTTGAAGCTTATAATAAAACCGTGGTAGCAAAATAGGCTTGGCGTATCTTAGAAAAACCCACCTCTCTGGTGGCAAAGATTCTTAAAGCCCAATATTTTTCATAAGGTGATTTTATGCAGGCTAGTTTGGGAAGCTCACCGTCAATGATATGGAAATCTATTTTGTGGGGCCGTGAGGTTATTGAGGATGGTCTGATTTAGAGGGTGGGCAATGGAACTTTTATCAGTGTTTTCCAAGATAGGTGAATTCCAAAACCATTTACTTTCAAGCCGTTGATGGCTAGAGGGCTGGAACTACAGTCTCTGACCTCCTAACTGCTTCAGGCACATGTGATTTGACACTGCTAGAGCAACATTTTAGCTTGGAAGATAAAGATATCATTTCCAGTATTGCCCTCGGATCAGTCTCACAACTGGGGGATAGCAAATACTGGTTTTTCTCAAAGAATGGGAAATATTCTGCGAACACTGGGTATCGTGTGGCGCTAAGGCAGTGTGGCAGTGTGATGAGGACTTTGGAGTGGGGGGATCATATCAGGGTGCTTCATAAGGTTTTTGGATGCAAATTTGAAAGCTTGCAGTCCCCAATAAAATTAAAATACTTATATGGAGGGCAAGTTCTGAAATTCTACCAACTGCAGTCAATTTATTTAAATTTAAGAGAAGGGTGCTTACATCTCAGGTGTGCTCAAGGTGTGGGAAATATCCTGAAGATGCCTACCATGCTCTGTGGTCTTGTAAAATGAGTCAGAATTTTTGGAAGTATACCTATTTTATCCGACGAATTAATGTGGCGGTTGGCACTTTTGCTTATTTTTTTAGGTTGTGGCTACAGTGTTGTCAAAAGCTAACTTAGAGCGGTTTGCTTGTTGTGTGTGGAAACTACGTAACTTTTCTTTGCATGGGAAACAGATTACACGGTTGGAGGATATGGTAGAAAGCACGATGGAGATGTTGGCGGTGTTCAAATCTTGTGAGAAGCGGCCCAGGTCCATTGGTTGAAACCATAGGTAAATACTTTTATTCTTAACTGTGATAGGGCTTTGGGTCATGAGGAAAGTGGTCGAGGTCTGGGGGGCTGCTGTTGTGATCATGACGACAGCTTTATCTTTGGTTTTTCTTACGGCGATCCACCTGGTTTGGATGTTTTGGGTACTAAGTTGGCGGCGGTTCGGGAAGGTTTATTGATGGTGGGATACATGGGCTTTACACGGTTTAACATTGGCCTTGATTCTCAAGAAGTTATTGCTATACTCAAAGATGGTATGGATTGGTGGAGTAATATTGGAAATGTGGTGGATGATGTTCGTCGGTTAATGGTTGATCGAGAGGTGGTTGGAGTGTTTTATCAACATCGAAAAGGCAATGGGGTGGCGCTTGGCCTTGCCTAACATGGATTGAGAGCGAGATCAAGACTTTTCTGGAAAGACCGTGCTCCCCCATGGCTAAGCATTCTGTTAGATAAGGATAGAACTACGACATAGAATTTTGTCTGCATTATTGAAGTGCGGTGGTACTCTTTTTCTTTGACCGGATTTTCCTCCATTGGGGGTTTTTTATGGCAAGATTTTAATGAGGCCACATTTATGCCCTCCGTTCGTTTGTGAACTTTTCTCGTTTGTTTGGTGACAGTGATGAATGAAGTTATTCCTTTTTTTTATATATATATAAAAGTCTATGGATAAAAATGTAGTTGTATAATAGCTCATGTACAGTTGAACCTACAATTTTTTCTTTAAAATAAATTTAGTGGGGCAAGACTGTGTCATTACTTTACATGCTGACTCTGTCCCACATGATTTTCTCAGGGAAGGTTTAACGAGGTCACACTTTTACATACTAACTCTGTCATTACTTTGATGACTAGTAATAAGTTCATCTTTTTCAAAACAAAACCAAAAAAAAAAAAAAAAAAAAAATAGGGGCAAGATGCTCCTGATAGATCTTCGGTATGAAATAATTTTTTATTTTTAATTTTTAATACAAGCGATAGTTTAAACTACAAGAGGGAGGGAGGAGGTTTCTCACACACACTAGTAAGATATTATAGGGGTTCAAATTTGAGACCACTAGTTTGCAAGTCAAGATCCTTTTTACTGGACTAGACCCCATTCATAGATATGAAAGATTTTTACGTATCACAGTTGTATATATACGAAACATAGATAAATAAATGTGGCAGATGTTCCTATCGTAGCTCCATCATTGCCTTACTGTAACAGTTTTGTTAGTTATGTTCATCATTACAAGGACAAATTAGGTTGAATTTGGGTATTGACTTGTTGCGACAAAGGGGACTAAAATAATGCACAAATGAACATAAACGCAATCATATACTACATCTAGTTGTGTGTACCCAAAAAATATTGTAAAATCCATGCGAGTCAAAATTAATCAAAATTAACAACCAGCTAAAACAAATAAAATTCCAAACCAAGTTCAAAGAACATGCCAAAAGCTCTTCAAAGTCAAAAGATCAGACCTCTCTCTTGCTATAACAGAGCAAGCAGGAAAATACAAAAGAAAATACAAAAACCAAACCACAGCTATAACCAAATGTGTGAACAAAGACCAAATAATGCAGAAAAAGGGAAAACACCATGTGGGATGACACCAAGAAAAACTATGGTTACCTTGTCTTTTAGCCCTTCCAAAGCATGTGGCTAGAATCACACATATGCCTTTGTCCCTCCCTTGAATTGATGCATCTTTTTATCTCTTTGTCTTCTTTCTTCAAAGCCCTTTACTCTTAATTTACAATCACTTAAAGTTCAACAAGTTAAATGTAGAAAATAAAATTAAAAAAACTTTATTTTCCCATATAAGATGAACTGATCATTGAATGCCAATACACATATCATCACTTCTTCTTGTTGGTCTTATCTTTTCCATTTGAAAAGATTAATCCAAAACCAAATAGGTTAGCTGTAGGAACATTTAACACAGGATTAAATGGAGCAGCATTGCCATATGATCCATATTGGCCCTTCTTCAATGGAGGCTTTTGATAATTCATTGCAGTTGAAGAAGATTGTGATGAGGAGTGGAGTTTCTTGGATGCAGACTTCTGCTGTGAAGTCTGCTTCTGATTTTGACCCTCTTTGGAAAATACTGATCTCTTTACACTTGATGATGATGAAGAACCAGTTGAATTGCTTCTTGATAAAAGTGGCAAAGGACATAAGCTTCTGCCATAACCACTACCACAACTGCTGCTTCTCTTGAACCCCCAAAAAGACTTGGAACTCTGCTTCTCATCAGCTTCATTGCAGCTCATGTTCTTGCTTTCTTTACCGCTCTCTTTCGCCCTACTTGTGTTTTCGTCACTTGGATCAGCTGCTGCTGCTGTTGGTAGTGGAGGATGTTGATCAGGCACAATATTTTGATCCAGCTGTTTTGGGTGAGCAGACTTTTTCTTGATCTCACTTGGAATCATTTTCCCATCAGAGAAAAGCTCATCTGCAGAGGAAGACTCCTGCTCGAAGCTCTCGTGGACGACGCAGAAATCAAACTCCATGCTTGAATTCATGCTTCTTGATGAGGATGATGATGAATTGAATCTGAGAGGAGGATGGTGGTGCTGTTGTTGTTCCACAGCTGCAACATCAGATTGGCAAAGATCATAAGAGAATGAAATCCTTGGGCTCACACCCATGCTAGAGTTATCTGAACAAAGCTCAACTCCCATTCTCCTTGTTAAGACTTTAATCTCAAGAAAGCCAGAAAATCACACTCAGACCACATATATCAGATTTAGCAGAAACCAACAAAACATGTCACTTTTGATGTGAAAACATGGACAAGTGCAGATTCTAAAGAACTTCAAACCTAACAAAGACTCTAGGCATTTAAAGAAATCTCCACATCCCACATAGGAAATGACAAGAAACAGGGTTAGAATTGTAGAATAAATAGGAAATTCAAATCCACCACACACAAAAATAATGGATATATGTGGTCCTAAAAGGTTAGGTAGAGGAAGATCCAATTCTGGGTTTAATGGGAAGTTGCAGATGCAAACTTTGGAGATGATGGAAAATGTCAGTGACGATTGATTTGGACAAGAGGAGGGCAAGAGTGAATTGAAAGACCAAGTCTCGTTGGTTGAGAGATGTTTGGTGTGTTTGAGTTTTAGAGGGAGATAAAAAGCTAAAGCCGGCCTCGGTGTATGGAAGTAGTTGAGGGAGTAAAATTATTCTGCTGCTGTCTTCAAATAGGTAGGCCATGTTTCTGGCGACGTGGGAAATGGGTCCATTACCAAATTGTGTGTTTACCAAATGTTTTCATTTTTTCATTTTTCATTTTTCAACATCAACTTCCTTTGATGTGATGAGCCTACAAGAGAAAGGTAAAATTCTTTCAATAGGGATATGCTCGAAAATTCTTGACCAATGAGTACATGCATCCCAAGGCATTATAAAAGTTCGAAATTACCGACTTATTGTACTCTTGGCTCACTGATGTTTCAAGTTTGAATATCTTATTTTTTATTGATTAAAAAAAAAATTTAAAATTACCATTAACATGAATGAAGTTTTTAGGCATGCACTTGAACTTTATAGACCAGCTGGTGCCAAAAAAAAAAGGCATTTATGGGCAAGGACTGGCTTACGGATCAACTTAATCAGTTCTCAATCACCTTCCCTGGAAATCAAACTATTATTTGGCAACCAAAAAAAATTAAAAAAAAAGAGAGAACAAAAAGCAATAATCAAACTATTAGGATAATACTCACTCAACAATTATACCTAATGTATGGTCAGATCAATTAATTTCCTGTGGTTAAATAATTTAAATAATTGTTATTTTCGTTCCATCTATTAATATTCGTTTTAAGTTGAAACCCTACCTATCTATGGAATGGATCTGATGTATTCATGGACTTGATCATCAACCTTTTGCATAAATGTGAGTTCTAGAGTTCTAGTTGGTAGTTGATTAAACACCTCTATGTACCGAGTTCACCTACAATTTGTAATGTATAAATACGTCTCGAATGCATCTCTTAAAAGTTTCACAATTAATGCATACATGGACTTAGCCAAGTTGGCTGAAGCGGATGTGTTCCTCATTTGCACTCAAGTTCGAATCCCCCTCCTCATAATTTAGATTAATTTAAAGTAGATTATCGCTTGTATTAAATATTAAAAAAATTCACAATTAATTCTCCAACAAATATTGCTTATACATAAATTGAATTTGGGCACTCTATTCATTATGTTTATGTGGTGGTTATGTGCAATGACACAGGTTAAGTTTCGGTTTAGAGTTTATTATGCGAATTTATATTAGAATGAGATGTCAGTCTTCACAATTGAATAGCAACAGCTGAGATGTCAGTCTTCACAATTGAATTGAATCTTTTTAATAAACTACCAATATGCCGAGATGGTAGCATATTGATCTCCCTTCGTTCGTTTTCAGATTATTAAATTGAATCCCTTTAATCAATTACCAATTTCAAGCTTACCATGGTTCCCGTTAGGAAATTGAGGTTTTATTTTAAAAATGATGTGTATAACTTGAATTCTTTAGATTAAATTTTAATGAGATGTCACATGGAGGAAAGAAGTTTAGCAAATTATAACAGAGGATCTGAATTCTTTCAAACTTAGTACATCTTCAAACATTGAGAAGCAAACTTAGTACATCTTCAAACATTGAGAAGCGTAGTATCATTAAACTTAATAGCTAATCAAAGGCAAGATATTTTTTAAGCATGCCCTTGTATTCAACTTATGAGCATTAAAATATTCTTTAAGTGAACTTTTTTTCGTTGGATAGATAACCTTTTTCCATGAAACAAAATAAATTTTTTAAAACAAATTCCCCTCTAAAGATCAAAACAAATTTTTACGGCTACATCAAGAAGTTTTTTTAGTAGCAATCATAACTAGCCAAATAGGTTAAAAAGATTTGATAAAAATAATTGAAATGGCTAATGAGAGTTTAACATTTCCTTCGTTGTATTTCATTATGATTTCTTTCTTCTTCTTTTTTGGTGAAGGGAGGGGGGGGGAAAGAACCCCTAACAACCAAAGAACTAAACAACACTAATCATACGAGGTTTAGACAACCCCAGCAGGTCATCTATCAACACAGAGCCAAGTTAATCAGGAGCCTCATCAAGAAAACACAAACCCAGATCTAGATGATTTCTTTCCTTATTTTGTGTAGGTGACTTATTATGATGTAATTAGGATAAATTGTTTTACTTCAGGTACACACAATGTGATCCTGCTTCCTCATACTTAAGAAAAAGACAAAATTGTAGTAATGGTCCCTCAAATAAGACCTCACTTTACTTTTTGTTCCTCAACCCCAAAAATTATTATGGTCGTCCTTCAATTAGATATCGCTTTGCACCACTCGTCCTTTCCGTCAATTCTATTAGTTTTTCTGTTAAAATTAAGGGCAAATTGGAAAATTCAAATCAAATATTTATTAGATAAGTAAACTATTTAAATAAAAAGTACACTGCCACTACCATAAACCCCCCAGCCACCGTCTTCCCCAATGAATCGGTCCAAATCGAGTTTCATTGTTTTCATTTGTGGTTGGGGAAAAAAATTGTGAGGTGGTGGTGGGATTGGGGCTCTGGAATGGGGCGAGAGGTGTAAATATGGCCAGGGGTTGGCTCACGGATCAACTTAATCAGTTCTCAACCACCTTCCCTTTATATCGTTAATAAGGAAATCAAACTATTATTTGGCAAATAAAAAAAAGAGAACAAAAAGCAATAATCAAACTATTAGGACAATACTCACTCAACAATTATACCTAATGTATGGTCAGATCAATTAATTTCCTGTGGTTAAATAATTTAAATAATTGTTATTTTCGTTCCATCTATTAATATTCGTTTTAAGTTGAAACCCTACATGAGTTCATCCGTGGAATGGATATGATGTATTCATGGACTTGATCATCAACCTTTTGCATAAATGTGATACTAGTTCTAGTTGGCAGTTGATTAAACACCTCTTATGTAGCGAGGTTCACCTACAATTTGTAATGTATAAATACATCTCAAATGCATCTCTTAAAACTTTCACAATTAATGAATATATGGGCTTAGGCAAGTTGGCTAGAGCAGATGTGTTCCCCATCTCCACTCAAGTTCGAGTCCTCCTCCCAGTAGTTTAGATTAATTTAAAATAGATTATCGCTTGCAAAAAAAAAAAAAAAAAAAAAAAAAAAAAAAAAAAAAAAAATTAATTCTTCATTTAATATCCTACAATAAATACATATATTTATTAGTAAAAATAAATTGTGGGGCTCTACCCATCATGTTCATGTCGTGGTTCTGTGGAATGACATCTTTTATGGGTTTAAGGGTTAAGTTTGGGTTTAGAGTTTATTATGGGAATTTATATCAAAATTAGGGAGTTGAGTTTTATCCTCAAATTTGGTGACTTTGATCCAAGTGCTTTGACTTTTGTGCCACATAGGATTACATTCCTTGTTTAATATTGTATGATGTAATCTTTTTATTTTTATATTTTAAAAATCATTTTTTGTTCCAATACTGCTCATTATCTTAGATTACTTACCTTAATGAGATAATTAGCTAATATTACATTTCTTTCCTTACCCAGTTTACCCTTGAGCACATAAAACGAAGGAATAATGAAGTTATTAATTGTAGCAAAATTTATGGTGGTTTTATAATAAATGACTAAATTTATGGTAAGTAAAGCACCTAACTGGGAAGACTCTTTTTATTTTTATTTTTTTATTTTTTTTATTTTTTTTATTTTAATGTTGTACATTGACATAAGAAAGAAATAATGGAGTGAGTTTAGTGCTCAAAGGAAGCCAAACACTCATTAAAATAGATGAGGAAATAATGGAGATTTAGACAGACTTGGGGTTCATCTCAAGGCACAAATGACCCGCTGAAGCATAGTCATATCCATTTGCTATGTTGTCATGGTATCGACTTCTTCTTCTTCTTCTTCTTTTATTATTATTATTATTTTATGTTGAATATATGCTTAACTTTGAATCATTTTGTTCTTTATAGTTGTTCTTTTATGTATAGTATACCTGAGTTATAGGTAATACATTTTTTAATATATTTTTCTTCATATATATATATATATAAATTATAGGTAACATACTCCCTTAACAAGAAAAAAAAGTTATTAATTGACTCGTGTTTTTACATACATGAGATATAGGTACCACACTTCTTTGCCTTTTTGTTTATGGATCTAAGTTATAGGTAACATACACGTTACCACTTATCTTTTTTATGTACCTGAGATATAGGTAGCATATATTGTCCGACTTATGTTTTTATGCACCTAATTTATAGGTAATTTAATATTCTGCCTGTCTATTTTTCCACCTTACTTATAGGTAAGATGTTTTGTGATTTGTTCAGCCTATGATGTAGATATGTTATCCTATGGTATAGGTATATTGTCCTATTGTCCATTGCATAGGTATAATATGTGGGTCTTATAGGTATAATATGTGGGTCTTACTTTCATTGATTAAATGATATATATTAGGTAAATATTATCAACAAAAGAATTCAAAATTCAATTACAAGGAAATAATGCATTAAATTTATATTTTCAATATGTTTTTCTTATTTATCTCAAAGGGTAGAATCGACACAACAAAAAAGTAAATAAAGTCAAAGGACCTACATCTAAAACAAAAAACGTGTGGACTAAA